GAATATGCAGCAAAAGAGTGATTGGAGTGTTGAGTTTAGAATGTTTTAAATGGACTATGTGTTCAGGTGCACTTGAGTTAAGACTTTGAAATTAAGAATCCTTTCTTTGGGTAACTTTCCATGTTTATATCTGAGGAAAAAAAAACTATGAGAAGATATTTTGAAGGTTTGGTCACTAGAGGGCACCAGAAAGAAATAAATACATCAGTGGATGCATTTCAGTGATATTTGGTATTGGAGATAAACTAGATGATGTCATGGAAGAGGAACAAGCTTCACTGGAAAAGATTGAAATCTATTTCAATATGGATTTAAACAACATATTGAATATACAAATAAAAGTAACTTTGTTACAGTTGTCAACAATTTTGTGAAAAGAGACAGTGAAAGTATAAAGCAGTGAGGGTGAACCTTTTAGAGGCCAAGTGCCCAAACTGCAACCCAAAACCTACTTATGCATCATCGGGTGCTGGGTGGGCGTGGCCCTTTGGGTGGGTGTGGCTGCAGTGGTAACAGCAGACTGGGTGGGACTAAAAAGTTTAATAAATCAATTCCAACTTTGCAAGATCTTTTTTTTTCCCACGAGAAGTTGAAATTGACTGATTGATTGAACCTTTTTTTTTTTTGGCGACGGCGCGCGTGCCCACAGAGAGGGCTCTGAGTGCCGCCTCTGGCACCCGTGCCATAGGTTTGCCACCACTGGTATAAAGAGTGACCTACCTAAACTCTTTATATAAGATTTACAAAAGGGACCTGTTAAAGCTGTCAGGTTTTGTGAGAAGAGATAAGATAAACATAAAAAAAACAGATTCTAGGACATTATCTGAGGGAATTAAAGATTGTTGGAGAAAGGGGGAAAATATAAAATCATTTATTTGAAAATAGATGGGTTGCTATCCCTAGTAATATTTGATTGATTTCTGACTAGAACTGGGATGATATTTTAGAGGTTCTGTTTATATGAGAGATTAGATAGGGGATAGAGAGTTCACTTGTTAAAATTTAAGTTTATCTGATTAATAAATGTAAAAGGAAAGTTTTAAAGTGAGTTTATTAGTTACAGCTTGTAATAGTTCTGTTGCTATTTCTGATAACCCTTAATGGATTTTTGCTGATTAAGATGGAGTGATGCTTTAAAGATCTGTTTCCATACAATGTATGGGATGAAGAGATGGTTTGTTGTTTTATAAGACATGTGATGAGTTTATTTATTTAATTGTATCCCATCTTTATTATTTTTACAAATAACTCAAGGCGTTGAACGCGCATAATACTCCTTTCTACTCCAGTTTTCTCCACAAAAACACTTGTTAGGTACAAAGGATGAAGTCATTTTTCTTTCTTTTTCTGCATTTTTGAATTTTTATTTTTTATACTTTGCATTATTTTGATCTGTACAATTTTTTTTATGAAAGTACTGAAGTTAGCTGAGGTGGAATTTGATGCTTTAGAACAGGGGTCCCCAATCCCCAGGCCACAGCCTGGGCTGCAGCTGATTGGGAACCAGGCTGTGCAAGCAGCGGGTGAGGGTGACTCTGGGTGGTTTACGGTATTAAAAGGATAAAATGTTATAAAACTTATACACAATATGAACAAAGTACAATATAAATATAAATATAAAAATATAAATACTTTAACTAAAACATGGGGAGGGAGAGAGTAGGATGAGCAAGGGGGCGAGGTGGGATCGGTTATTAATCTGTCAATAATAAATTTAATTGGGCAGCTGACTCATGACTCCTCTGTCTTTATCCTTTAATCTAAAGAATGCTCTGAAGTTATTAGGAACTACGAATTATTTTCATATTTAAACAAATAATAGAAAACTTATGTTAAGGTTAGTGGTTGAGGAGATGGGATTAGGCACATATGGGGATCTCAGATGAAAGTCAGGTATGTGCAGTTTTTCTTTTGTTGGACATTATATTAGTCTGTAATGAGTTTTATCAAGGTAGTTGAATAAACTGTTTATTTAGCAATTTTTTAATGTATTCAATTCTAATAGGTTTTGGGCAGTGCACAGCAAATAGGTCAAATAGAAAATAAAATAAGATTAAAACAATCATATTCTTGGCTGAATTCATACATACTAAGTCATAAAGTTTATAAACCACGGGATCTGGTTTCATACACCAAAGTAAACCAAATAAACATTGGAATTCATCTGAATATAGTTTTAATATCTCATCTGCTGTTTATGAGAACTAAACCAGAATGAAGATGACTTTATCCAAGCAAACAGCCATGTCTGCTCTTTTGTTTATCTTTAACCATTGTTCTTTTGATCGTGCATAGTATTTTAGAAAATGCTTTCTTGCAAAAGACAGGTTATGCCTACAGATGTTTGTAATCTAAATTGAATCTTAAATGTTTGAGAATTTTGCTTTGATCATCTTAAATAGGTGTGTTAAACATTAAAGAAAGGATGCTGAAATTATGTAGGATCCTGATATTTTTTTTCATTGTAAAGTTTCTTGTTATCATTATAGTTATATAATGATAAATCATTTTATATGAAAAAGAGTCAAAAGATGCATAAATAGCAGAAATAGAGGGAGTAAAATGCACCATGGTGCCTTAAAGAAATCTAACTAGGTTTGTGGAATATAACTCCATTTCTTAAAAAATGTATTCAACATATTTAAAATGTATTGAATAAAACCTACCCTATTTGAGATCTAGAGCATATCATATTTTTTATAGATGTAAATACACGGTGTTCAATGGTCTTTGCCTTTTTGGAAGTGTGAGATTGTGGTCTGTGTGACTTAACTTAAGGATTTGGAAAAATGTGTTAGATGTTTCTTGGATATTTTGGTTTTTTAGAATTAATAGGAATTTAGATCATTGTTCCATTTGATCTTGTAATAAAAGCTTCAAAGTATAGCTGTGCACTGTTTCAGCTTTTTTGTACTGCATTTAATTACGTGTAATACTAGACTAACCATTTAAAATAGCACATAATTTGCTTTGCTCTTTAAAAATGCTGACCCTATTAAAATTCTAAATAATGGTTAGAGGTGTATGCTTTGAGCACAAATCATTCTTGCTAAATAATAGAAGTCTCTCCGTTGGTAGAGGTCATTGCTAAACAGCATAGTAGTATCTTTTTGTGAGGGTTGTAATATTTATTTGTTTCTTTAGACTTACTACATTTTAAGTTTCTTACAGATTCTTTTCACAGTTTTAAGGGCACCAGTGCATAAATCCTCCACTTCCTTTGAGATTTCTGCAATCTAATGCCCAGTTACTCATCTTTTTAATATTCTTTATTGGTTCACTTTTCTACAATGTAGTATCCCTCTGGATTTTTTTAGGTTACTATGCTCGTCATCTTTGACTAGCTATCATGCTGCTTTGAAATAGATTAGAGTTATATTTCAAAACATCCTGAAACTAATCAGGTTGGGAAAAGGCTTGTATCCTTTCTCTTGAACTTAACTGTTCTGTCATGTTTTCCTGATGCTGTTTTAGACTTATGATGCAGAAAATTCAGTGCAGGCTACATTTGAAGATTGCACACAATGGCTGCCTCAACTTCAGTGCCGCCTTCTATCTTTCATCATTAAAAGCTACCCTCTCTCCATAAGGGTCATTTGTGTCCCTTATGTTAAGGAGCTTGTTCTGTAAATCAGGAAAAGAGTAAGGGTATGCCCTGAAGGAGACAAAAATATATTCTGGTAGGATATTTTATACCACATTCCTTTTGACTTTTATGGTAGTAGTGCTGCTTGTCTCAGTATGACTTTTATAAAAGAATATTATAATTAACTGTACCTTTAAGTGTGTCTAACTTTCTAATAGTTGCTCTCTATTTGGACAAACATGGAAAATAAGTGAGCTATGTATGTTATTTTGGAGCTATGTAGTCCCAGAAGTCTGACCAGCTACCTGCTGACATAATCTCAGTTTCTGACCCTTTAAATAGTTCCTTTTCTGCTGATTAATATAAAGAAACAAAACACAATTCCACTCCGATATTGTATGAGTATAAAATAAAAAGTCCAGTTTATTTGGATATCTAGCTAGCTTCTACACAATACAGTATAATATGATGAAATGGAAGATACACATCCCTGCAGTGTTTTAAATTAATTTTGCTACAGCCTTTTTATTACTAAATTCTTTTATCCATAATACCAAAATACAGGTAGATGTTAAAAACGAGAGAAGGGTAAAGGTGAAATGTCAAGACTTTTTAGCTACTTCTGCCATTTTACTAGCCAGTATTGTAGTGAAAGGTAGTCTGGTGTCTCAGGGAGGAGCTCTTTCCTGGAGGGCAAAGAGACAGTGGAGCCTGAAATGCCTGGTGGGCAGGAAGAGAGCAACTTCCTTAAAAGCCAGAAAAGGGGATATGGGGTTGGTTCATTGGATTAAAGTTAAACTATAGGTGTTATTTTTAGTAACTCTTAATGGACTGTTGCTGATTATGAGGAGGAGGCTTTAAAATTTGTACATAGATAAGAGATGAGATATGGGAAGAAGAGATCTTTTGTTGCAATATCAGAGAAGATGTAATTACTGAAATCGTATTTGTTGTGATGAGTGCATATGTTATTCACATATATATATAAATGCACACACACACACATGTATACTTTTAAAATTTTGTTTCTCTACACTTATTTTTTATTTTTATATTTGTTTTAGTTTTTTGTTTTTTTTATTTTTGTAACTATAAACTTTAATAAAATTATTATAAAACATACAGTTAGTTTAATTAAGATTTTCACATGAACTTATGTTATTCTGATTGTACCTCCAGTATCTAAATAAGCTATCTACTCAAGTATTCCTTTACAGCAGAGGTCACCAACCCTTTGGCACCAGAGACCGGTTCCATAGAGAATGACTCTTGTTTAAAAAACAGATCACAGATAATGTACAGTTTGTGTTACTCCTGCCTCAACTTTATTTAACTGATTTTCAGGCTAATTACATTGTATTATTGCATATGTAATAATATTGCCAAAACTGAATACCTTTGTTCTCTCAAACAGAAGCTGGCAGGCTGAAAAATAGGCAGTGCACAGGACGGACTTTCTGGCTACTGACCATTTAGCTGGTAAGTTTGCAGTTCTCTGTTAAAATGATTCCCAGACTTTGGTCTAAGAGCCTTTCCAACACTTGGCCTTAGTAGTGCCTATTGATTCTTTGTGGAATCCACAAGATATAGATAATCTGCCATATTCTTTTAAGTAGGATATTTATAGCATCTTTGTTATGTTCGAACCAATAAAGTTTGCATTTATGCCTCACATCTTACCTTTCCACAGAACTGGAAAAACTTAGCCAAATGTGAAACACTGTCGAAAAGGAAAACCATTCTGAGTCCTTTTTGCAGAATCGTATGAACAAAAACTGAAGTATTCCATTCCTAATGTATTGATTAAGAAGGAAAGCAAAACTATTGGCTTATGGAACATTTTACATTTTAAAAACAATTTCCAGGCTGTTTTTTAAAGGACAGCAAATATAATATATAGAATTAAAGAGAAAATCTTACATACTGGGACTAGCTCATAAAGAAGACAATTAAAGGGAATTGAAAAGATGCATTTACTTTCAGTAGCCTTTCTCATATTTAGATGTTGCCTAATTCTTACAACAGGTGATAACATTTTTTAAAAGTACCATTCACACAACATGTAATTATCCCCGCTACATGGAGGTTATGAATGCTAACTTTGTCTAATTGAATTCAAAGCAGTGCTGGAGAGAATTTGTATATACAGTATATCCTACTATCTAAGGGCCTTGAGGTACAAATGTCACAAACGAATGTTGGTTGCATTGCTGTTTATTAAAATTGGACAACCAGGGCTTTTTTTCAGCCGGAACGCGGCGGAACCGCGTTCCGGTACCTTTTTCCGGGCCGGCCGCACCGGAAATAGCCCCTCCCACACCGGAAATAGCCCCTCCCAAATTTTACTTGCATTCCTGTTCTCTAAAGGGGCGGTCCTAGGGTTTGATGAGGGCGTGGCCAGGTTTGAGTTCCGCCACCTTTTCTCCGAGAAAAAAAGCCCTGTGGACAACTATATATTGATGCACCTAAAACTGGCTATTCCAGATATATTAGTCTGGCTGATAAGCTAGCAAAACCATTTTCTTTAATTCAGTGTTTCAATAATGAAATGTCAATTAATTCAAAATATTGTTTCATATACAGCAAAGCTGATCATGAATTAGAAATCTCATGGCTGGCAGAGGCTTTATAATGTTTTTGATAGAAAAATCCCCTGATCTAGAAGGCCAGGAATTTTGTTAGCTATTAAAGTTTAATGGGCTTGGTACTCTCTCCTCTCTTGTTTAACATCCGCATAAAGCCTTCGGGTGAGATCATTCTTCACCATGGGTTAAGTTATCATTGCAGGATCCAATCTGGATTGGTCATTGGGACCAGAAGTTTATACTTCTGAGCTTTTGGATTCATGCTGGAGACCATCCTCAGGAAACTTCTCTCTGCAAGTGTGTGTGTGCTTTGGGCTACTCTGTGTCTGGTGTTCATATGGTGCCTGTTGTGTATGGCTTTTTAGATGTAGATTGGAGTACTGATGTCTGGCTATTAAGTCATTGGCTATTGTTTCCTTCTGCTGCTAAGCCCTTGCCTCCTAAGTACTTATAAGCTAGGGGGTAAATCAGCACTCCTGTTGATTGAAGAGGGGCCCATTCCCAGGCTTCAGTCAATTTTGCAGAGGTACTAAGATTGTTGGATGAGCAGGCACAAAAACAGTCAGGGAAGGGATTCAAGCCTGGAAAAGGGCCCTACTCCTGTTGACAGAGAGAGTCTATTTTGGATCCTGTCATTCAAAGAACTCTGACTATTGGGATCCAGAAGAAGAGCCTTTCCTGCTGCAATGCCTGCCCTTTGGAACATCTTACCCCCTGGGTAAGATCTGCTCCCATACTCCTATCCTTCCACAAGAGCCTGAAGAGCTGGCTCTGCTGGTTGGTCTGGGGATCGATCACATGGGAGATTTCCATACTGAAGGTGGCTGCTGGATTGATGGCAGATTCCACCTCTCCCCTTTGCTCTCTACTCCCCACCCATCTATTTTTTTGTACATCGTATTGCATCGTATTTTTTGTACATCGTATTGATGTACTCTTGTATTTCTTTCATTGTTTATTTTATTGTTTTATTATTTTACTTCTGTTTCGTTTGCACTCTTTTCATTTCTCCCTTTTTATTATTGTAAGCTGCCTAGAGTAGCCCCACAGCAAGTTAGGCGGCAAATAAATTTAATAAATAAACAATAAATAAGTATATAAAATAGGTATAAATTAGTCTTTGGTTCATATAGGCCTTTCCTATCTTGATCACTCTCTAGATGTGTGGATTTACCCCCCCCCCCCGAATTCCATGGTCAATTTTTATCACTGACAATTCTGCAAGTTAAAGTACATAAATGTGAAAAGTGCCAGGGTAGGAAGGTACTAATTATAGTAGATATTGACTTAAATCATCTTCAAATATTTATCTGAATGTGAAATGATTTGAAACTGCCCCTATATCACCACTTGTTTAGTTGGAAAGTCAGAAGGGTGAGCTGCTCTAATGTTCACTTATATCAGCATGGCTGGTTCAGGAATTCTGGGAGTTGAAGTCCACGAATCATAAAAGAGCCAAGGTTGCCTACCCCTGACTTACATGAAAGGAAACCTCTTTATGTAATCCAGGATGTTGCTTTCTATATGAAGGATGATGAGAGAGAAGCCTGGGTGTGCAACCTTGTTCTCTGCTTACTTTCAGACCTCATATATCTCAGTGGCATGTTTTGCAGACATCATTTTTCATTTCATATTTCGTAAAGCTAAAAATCTGATATTCGTTAATGTAAAAACAACTGCAGATGTTATTGCAGCTTTGTGACTTGGATCTAGTAGGAAGAAAAAAATGATAGGATTCCATGTCTGTTGCTAACAGAAAAATGATGTTGTAAAAAGAAGACCAATTAAAAAGAAACAGTGATTTTATTATATCAGTCTTTTACTAAATAAACTAGGAAAGGTACTATGCTATAGACAAATTGTCTTGTAGTGTGGAGTCCTCCTTTGTTTGCTCAACCATGGTCAATTGTACATCTTCAAAAGAAGTGGCTAAAATTGTTCCTCTGTTAAATGTATTTTCCTATTTTCCGTCTCTTTCCTTTTTTAATGGCACGATACTGGGAGTTATCATGACAGTTTCTCTTTCCTACCATCAGTGGCATACCCGGATTGTGTGTGAGTGGGAAATCAACCATGAGCTCCGTGGCAGTTTTGACCCAGGAAAGTTTTGCTGAACATCGTAGTGGCCTTGCTCAGCAGCAAGTGAAAGGTAAAAACAAAACAAAACAAGGTTATTACAAAATCCCATGTGATAACAGCTGCACAGAAATATTATCTTGCTGCTATTTAATTGCTTTGTTACTTGGGGAAGGATGGTTAAGATTTCTTGTTCTTTGATTCTGGAGAGACAATATCAGTATTTAGATTAATAATAATATAAGGGCTAAGAAGCTCTTGGAGCATAAGTTAGATAATCTGTAGATACCAATTTTTTCAATTTTACCGAACTACTTTTAGAAACATCTGTGCATTATAATCTTCATTCATTTTCTCTATATATTAAATCTATATGCTGCCCAACTCGTTATCTAAAGCGACATTGGGAAGCTTATAATTTTAAAATATATACTATTTTATATATAATAAACCATTCTTTTCCAATGTAATAGTCTCCAGATATTAGACTACAGATCCCACTCTTTGCTATCCTGCTAGTATGACCAATGTCAGCTGGAGAGACCAAGCTGAGGAAGGCTTCTGTTGACAATATAGTTTGAGGCAAGATTAATGGATAGAGATTCTCGTTTTGAAAAAGTTATTTGCCAAAATTATCTTCAGGCATTTTTAAGTTGCCATTCACAGTGTCCATATCTGGCCTTCATAGTACTGAGTTCAGAAAGGCATGACATATGCTAAAATGTGTTTGATTTCTTATTATTATGTTTAATTATTCTTTAGTACTATAACATCAGTTCTTATCCAGCGAAAAAAAGTCATTAAAAGTGGCATTCCAACTGTATAGCATAAAATAAAGGACTGTGTAAATAAAATAACACTGAATTTAAAAATCCATGGAATTTCAGTTTGTGCACAATTGTAGTTAAATATCAGATGAATCTGTGGCTGATGAATCAATACAAAATATGGGAGTATAAAATATCAACAATTCAAACAAGAAAAAAATGTTAACCTTCCAATCCTTTTGTTATTTAGTAACAATCTGAGGTCTGTTATAGAACCGCTGAGTGTTAGTAGTTAGGAATTAATTCTCATGTATGGCAGTTTTGACATTATAGGAAATTGATTTGGTCATTATTTATAACAAACCTACATACCAAGATACAACTACCTCACAATACGCGTTAGTCATAGATATAGTTTTCTTTGGATGGGATAAACTCTAGTTATCTGTAAAACACGTTTTCCTTATCTCCTGATAGAAATTATTACTGATGGATTAGTAAATAGAAAACAGCTTGGTTTCAATTTGGTATATCTCAGTATTGTATTAAAGTCTATATTTTTAACTAACAAATTAAGAATACCGTATGTTAATATTCAGATGGTGGGGAAAGAGACAGTATAGTCTGTTGACCATTGTCTATAAAGTCATTCTTTGTTTCCTTGCTTTTGCCACTGTAGTTACAGCTTTAAATGCTGAAGAAGAGAACGATCCTCCAACATACAAAGATGCCTTCCCCCCTCTCCCTGAGAAAGCTTGTTTGGAGCCAGCCCAGGAACCTACTGGTGCCTGGAGTAAAATCCGACCAATCAAGGCTTCTGTTATCACTCAGGTCAGTACAAAGAACGTTTTCTCCCCTTCAGTGTGAAACCCTGTTCAGGCATTTAGAAAAATGACCTTCAGGATGTTTATCTCATTGTGGGAGGGAAAATGTAAGCAGAAGAACTGTTTGAGTACTCCTAAGGCCTTTCCCTGAAATATATCAACAGA